ACATAAATAATTTTAGGAAGTTTATAACTTGTTATGGCTTGTACGTTTTCTGGAAGAAGTTTTGAGCCATTTGGTGTTATCAAATATCCCAAAGATTCTAATTTGGTCACTCCTATCACTGGTTTTGATAGATTGATGCGTAGGTCATACTTTTGAATTCTATTAAATACTTCTGTAAGATGTTCTTATGTTGTTCCTCAGTTTCCGACACTATTAGAATGTCGTCCAAATCTGAAGAAATAAAATCTAGTCCAATGAAAACTCCATTAATGAATCTTTGAAAAGTGGAGGGAGCATTTCATAAGCCAAAGCTCATTACATTAAATTCAAAAGTCCAAATGGTGTTATTATAGCTGTTTTTTGTTTATCTTGTTCTGCTATTTGGATTTGGTAATAGGTTTGATGTAAATCAAGTTTAGAAAATATCTTTTGGCCTTTTAAAATGTGGTGGAAGTCTTCAATTCTGTGTTAAGGGTAGCAATCTGATATTATGACATCATTCAAGTGGTGATAATCTCTGCATGGTCTCAAAGTGGTCTTTTTTTTTTTTTTTTTTTTTTTTTTTTTTTTTTTTTTTTTTTTTTTGACTAAATGAAGTGGGCTTGCCCATGGTGATTTTGATGGTCTTATATTATTTTCAGGCATAAAGTTGAATTCTTCTTTGGCTGTTTCTAATCTTTTAGGATCTAATCATCTAAGTTTTGAAAAAATTGGTCTGCAGTAGTAGGTATGTTATGTTCAACATTGTTTTGTTGTAGAGATTAGTAAATCAGGTTTTGTGATTTCCGGAAATTTTGTCAAAGTATTAGAAAATTTATTATTTTTGTTTAAGGTGCTTATATTTGATTCATTGGCTGACGATGAAATTTCATCAATAATGTTTAGTTACACCATCAATTAACTTTTTATTTTTAATATCAATCAATAAATTAAACCGGTTAAGAAAATCTGCATCCGAAATATCTTTACTGACTTTGTCTATGATAGATGGCTACTGAAAATTACGGCAAAGCCCCAAATCAAGAGTTTAAATTTTGTGTCCGAAACCCAGGATTTCAGTACCATTTGCAGTATAAAGTTTAAAATCACTACTTACCTTGTCCTTACACATGGCTGGAATTAGGCTTACGTCTGCACCACTGTCAACCAAAAAGTTTATTCCAATTTTTTGTCAGTTACAAAAAGTCTGTAATATAATTCACAGCAGTTCTTTAAATCTTCATCAGCAGAACAGGCTGCTAATTCTGATTCTGCTATGCAGGCAAGTTTTTCCAGTTACATGACGACTTACCTTTTTCTGGAAAGCATCTGGATTCAAAAGTGAAGTGGTAATAAGTTTACCATCCAGATTATAATGTTTCTGACTTCTACTTCTGGCTGTAGACAATGATCACGTTTTTCCCTTACTGCATGATGACTTCTTTCATTTGGTTGGTGATGGAGATGAAGTTCTTCGATCCACTGTTCCAATGAAGATATTTTTTCTAGTAATTGTGAAGTGGTGTTTGGCAGCGCACTCGAATTCTTAACTTCAGTTGAATGAGCCTGATATCAGTTTGTGGATGCATGTCGATTTTTTTTTTGTTTTTAATATCATTTAATAAATATAATCAATATCAGCCATAACTCCAGTTTATCAATACCTTCATCACTAACCGCCAATATATTTTTCATACGGTTTGCTCCATCCATAATGTTTTTAATACCTTGTCAGAAATATCATTAGTTGCCAGGGATTTAATTTTTTGTAACAGATGGCTGGGTTTCTTGTTGCCAATTTCAATGCCAGTGAAAAGGCGTTTGATTCGTTTATTTTCGCTTTCTTCAAATATGTTTAATAAACACTCTTTTGCCAATGAATATTCGTTTTCAGTCTTATCAGTTATTATATTCCAAATGGTATCTACATATTAAGGCTCCATTTGTGAGACAATGTAATTAAACTTGGTATCTTCATTACTTATACCATTAATTTTAAACTGTGCTTCTATATGAAAAACCCAAATTTCTGGTTTATCTATCCAAAAAGGGGGAATTTTTATACTGACCTTCATAGTTTCCGATGAATTAGCACCATATGACTGGTTTTTCTGTCTTCTCTGTGTTTGCCATAATATTTATCGTTGTTAACTTCAGGTAATGTAGCAGTTGCTACAGTATTTGGTGACTTTAAATAATGTTAAAAATAACTTTACACTATTATATTTAAAAGAAAACAATTTATTATTCACTTTTTAAAGACAAACAATATGATCCTGCAACTATTTTCATTTTTTGTTTGTTTGTTGCCTCTCACAATCTACGTCAAGTTGTACAAAAGAAAAGATTATATATGATTTGTAGAGGTTACAAGTTTTTAATTTTTTTCTACATATGCATATGTTTATATTTTCTAGTTTTTAAAAGTATCTATTATTTCTTCAAGGTCATATATTATTATTTTCTCAGCGTGAAGAGAGAAAATTTTTTGACCATTTGGAAACTTTAAGCATATTATTCTGTTTTCTGTCATAAAGTGGAGTCAAAATTAAATGTAGCTGTGTCTTTTCTGGTCTTGTATATATATTCTGAATGGAAAGCATATTCCAATGGCCAAAGGAATTATTAATGAACACAAAGCAGTTTTACATAAATTAGCTCTCGTGTTGATGTTTGTGTCTTAATTTGTATAGGGATCATAAAGCAAGGATGTGTAGATGTGAATTTTACATGAATTCAGTAGATATGTAGGCATTAATTAAATAATGTGTAAATATGTTATGAAACTGTTCATTGGCATTTGTGCCATTAGTGCCAAGTGAGGTTTGAGGTTAGTTAAAATGCGTGCAGAGTAGATTAATGAGCGGGGGCGGGGATTTGGAATGCAAAGTCTGTTAGTGTATGTGGCTGCATGAGTAGGTAGCAAATTACTAGGGCCATCCAGGAAGTAGATTACGTTTCCGTCTGTGTCCGCTAGGGGCGGGGCTAGCACGGCCATCTTGGGGTCAGAGCGTTGCGCAGCTCAGTCTGCATCTAGCCGTGCTAGTGAGAGGTTCGTGCTGTGCTCCGTTCAGATACTGTGACGGTTTGAAATGTCTGTGTTAATTGAAAATCCCGCGAGGTGCGCTCAGTAATAAGGTTTCTGACTGCAAAAAACTGTAAACCGATAGAAATCTATCGGCAGCTTTCGTGAAGTGTATGGGGACAACATTATCACTGAAGGTGGAGTGCGTCAGTGGGTCATAAGATTTCAAAATGGCCGAACCAATGTTCACGACGAAGATCGAAGTGGGAGACCCAGCATAGTGACCGCCGAACTTCTCGAAAAAGTCGATGCTAAAGTCCGTGAAAATCGAAATTTCACAATAATGGAACTTTCTTTGAGTTTTCCACAAATTTCGCGAAGTTTGTTGCACGAAATCATCGGCGAAAAGCTTGGTTACCACAAGTTTTGTGGTAACCAACTTTGTTTATTTTTTTATTCCAAAACATAATCTACTTTCTGGATAGCCCTCGTATATATATGTGATAAAAACAAATATATATAATTAAACTTCATTTGGGGTAACCAGACTATCGCTTTGCAGCAGAATGAAATTGGAGCTAGTATGTGAAGTCAGAGCTGATGTAGCATAGTAACGCCAGACTACTTTCTGTTAACTCCCCCTATGATGATTGCATTAGCGAAAGGTTATTTGAAGGAATAAACTAGCCTTTCTCTTTAATCCTGATGATTACCAAGCATGATACCACACAAGTGAGATATCTGGCACATCCAAAATGATCTCTTTCGATGATGTTATAGGAGTGATTGTATGTTCCCTTCTCTTTCCAGATGTGTATATGTCCAGAATTACTTGTCAGATTAAATTAGTTCTAATCTGTAAAGACCATTCGTCTCCATTCCTGTTGTGTCCCTATACCACAGCAACCAACATCTCTGATGAGCAGGCATGAATAGCACATACCATAAACTATAGCTGTCATCTCTGTGTTGCATAAGTATATTGTTATTGCTATTTGCTCCAAATCACAGTCGTAGCACTGCTGTAAAATTCTAATTACAAGTCATCTAATTGCCTAGCATCAAGTTTCACTGCAAGCTATTGCTAGCAAGAGAATGATGACTTAAAAGAAATAAGCATCTTGCACTGTGACGGGTTTTCAGAATGACAAAAATAGTGATGCTATGTGCCATATTTTCATGGGAGTATCTGAACCATTTGATTTCTGCAAAATAGTGTCTACCTTGGTATGCATTGTTATCAACTGATTGTAGTCATTGATGTTGGCATTTTAACCCAGTGGAGATGGATGCTTCCTAAGGGCAGGACTGTGTGTCGCTGAGCTCCTACCGTATGGATAGTTTCAGGAGCCTGAAGAAAATGTTTTTCTGTGTCCCAGTACCCAGATCCATCTTGCTGAGAATCAGTGGAATCAGGTCAGAAGGAGGTTTTGGCAAAAGGATCCTGTAATTTTAAACCTTCAACAATTTTAATATGTAATTAACTGCATATGGACTAATTTTCTCTTGAAATACAGTGGCAGTTAGTGGAATGAATTTCTAGATTGATGTAAGAAATATTAGAGCAAAATATGGTTTATGAAATTACTTAGTTATTTTAGTATTTAGTTACTCAAGTTTTGTTAATTTTACTATTCTAAGTTTATTTCCTATATTTTGCATGCAAACAAAATTGTGAAGTTGTTCCTGTATACATACATAGATAGATAGACTGAGAAGGTACTGTCATGAGAAAAAGGAATCAAAAAATGTCTAATGTAGTTGAGAGTAATTTTAATACAGAGTTAGTAATTTAAATTCATTGCTTATTTTACCATTTAAATAATCTTCATAAAACACAGTTTTAATGTTACCTTCATTTTTTTCTGGTGACACCTTTCAGAATATTGCCTTGCCTCATTGACACAGAGCTTTTAGATGTGTAAGAAAAACTGCACATAATTTTATATATTCATATCCAGATAGTTTTAAATGAGATTTTTTTTTTTATTTCTAGACTGAATGGGAAAACTCATGAAGTTTTCTCTGGTGCTGCACTTGTTCTTCCTAGATATGAAAATGGTAAGTTTTTTTGTTGTTTCCTGAGCATTAAAATGGTTTTTGATTATATTATTTATGCTTAACCTAATAAGTGAACTAGGATTTATCCTCCGCAGTTTCTACAAGGACTATGAGAAAGAGGTAAATTCTTAATTAGGATTCCAAAATGCTATAACCACTTTGTACATGATTGTTTTTCTCATCATGTACTGTTGCAATTATTTGAATGTATTTCAAAAGATACACTTGTGTACTTAAAGGTACTAGAACAAATGTTGTTGAATGTGGGTGTATATGTTACTCGCAAAGTATGAAATGCCGGCATTCTATAGAATGCTGGAGAATTTTAGGCAAAGTAGGAAATAAAAGAATTATTAAATACTTTACCTGGATATTGTATATAATACCTAGGCATTCTATAGACTGACAAATGGTCTTTAGGCAAAGTATGAAAAAAATGGTAATGATAAGGCTGTTATTTAAAAGACGTTCATTCCTCTAAAATACAAATAATATTTTGAAAAATTAATGAGAGTGACAATAAAAAACTGTTCTTCGAAATATGTAAAAAAAAAAAAAAAAAAAGATAGGTGATCTTGATAGCGTAATAAATTTGTATTTTCTATCTGGCTGAGACTGGGAATCAGTAAGATCTACCTGACAATGGAAGTTAAATTCAGAAACAATCATAAGTTTCACATCAGTGCCCTTTTTAATACTTTTTTGTTTTTTATGGCAGGGTTCACAAAGGTGGTTACTACAGTTCAATATCATTACGTGTAGTGTTTTTGTAATTTGTTGAAAGTTCTTTTGATATTCTGTTATGTCATTCCTGTGCAGTACTCAAATAAGTTTTCATGAAATATAGAAAATGACTCAGCGTCTTGACTCTGAAATGATATGAAAAATAACTCGGTCGTGATATGGATGATATGGATTTATGATATGGATAAAATAACTCTTGTTGTGATATGGAAAATAACTCGGTGATGTAATACTGTATAGTAGTAATTATTCTATTTATTTCTTTAACAGAGTAAATGAATTTTCTGTGTTTCTTTAACAGGGTAAATGAATGCACTTTTGTTTTCTACAAACATCTCGTCCTAGCGATTCAGTGGTCAGTAGTTCCGTGATTCCTTCTTATTAGTCATTTTGGCTTTTTTTCATTTTGGCTTTTTTCATCATTTTGGCTTTACAAGTCATTTTGGATTTTTTATGTCATTTACTAACTTCTGATTGTAATAAAATGTGAGGTGCAATAAGCCAGATATACTTGATAAATGTGCAGGATGAAATGTGTGATCGGAAAGGAATATAAAATTAAAGTAACTTACGCCCAAAGAATGACACTTCAAATAATTAATAATATTAAGTAATATTTATTATCTTGACATCATAAAATTTTGAATTAATACCAGCATAAATTAAGTAAATATCGCCAGACAGAAGATTGGCCATCGTGATCATACAGTAGCAGAAAGAAAGTCCTACCATTTTGAAACCTAACCTTTTGTACAAGAAATGCGTACTATTCCAATCAAAGTAAATCTCAGTCCATCATCTATAAACAAAGTTTCATGATAAAATTAATCAAATTTTATAACGGAGGAAATTGAGTTGACTGGTTATTCCAATATATTTTTGAAGAAACACAAGGCGAATATTCATATCATCAGGAAAGTGGAACACGTGCACATAAAGTCCTTTTGAGGATATTTCAAGTCATAAAACATTATTAATTTACTGCAGAAGTCAGCATCTAGATAATTTTAGTGAATCTTCAGTACCAAATTTATATTTTCTAGGAGAGATGCATTACTCTACAAACAATATGGAGATGGCAGTCAAAAGAAATTAATAACAGTCTATATTACACAGCATTTGTAATTTTGAAAAATGGATTGCCTGTCTTAAATGTTCACTGGTTTCTAATTTTATCAAATTTAAAGAGGAAATCTTCCTGCAGTATTCCCATGGGCATAAATTATTGAACTTCAATTTGTAATCTATTTCTTTTTGTACAAGACTTATATGGTGATCATACAGACAAATTGAGTCTTACTTTTAGATATGTAGATCGTCACCCAGACGGTATAGTGGCTAGAGAAGCCTACTACGGCACCGAAGGGCCTGGGTTTGAATCCTGGAGAAGGCATGGATGTTTGTAAATATACATATAGTGTCGGTGCAGTTTGGTGGCACTCTAAATATGCGGGAAGCCAAAAGTCCTCTCGTGTGGATTGGTGGAAGGGGAGACCTCTGGATCCCTCCCTGGGGTGCTGTCCCTCAAAATTGGGGGTGGAAAATAGAAGTCCAACCTCTGTCCAGAATAACAGATATGTACCATATTACTTTCAATAATCCTGTCTTAATTCAAAAACTTCTAATATTTATTCTAAATGTTTAAAGCTTGATATAACCAATTTCAGTAATGATGAAACTGATTATCTTAACCTTAAAATTATCAATTGTAAAGAAACTGAACTTTTAAATTAAAAAATAGGACTTTGCAACTTTCCTACCATTAAACTCATACACTGGAATTCTAGTATTTTTTAAAAGAAGTAATTATTAGCATCATTGTCAACTAGAATCTAAAAATTAAAAATATTTGCACTGCTGTTGAAGACATCAGTGAAGAAATTCTGTATTTTAGAATAAGTAATTAAATTCCTCTAATTTTGTTAGTTTACTAAAAAATTACCCATTAGGTTGCTTTTATTTTTATTATTTAAAGGAGTTATTTAAAATCAAATATGGAGGTATTTACTCTGTGTGTAACAATTGTAAACGTAAATAGTTCCTCTATCTCTGTTACTAAAAAATGGCTACTTGTATTTTAGTCCTATTATACGTCAAATTGTTGAAGGCTTTTTTACTGTTGTACACTTTTTCCTTTTCTCAACATTCTACTCTCCAATTACATTAGTTTTACATTATTTTTTTTAAATCCCTTTTTTATACACACTTAAAATGTATGAAATTTCCTCAATTTGGAAATTTTTGTTTATAAATTGTCATTAAAGCATCTTGTTTATTTAACTTTTAAGTAAATTTCTTTCTAAAATAAATTCATTTCCTCAATATTTTGTCTTATATATTTACATTTGATTTGCAATAGTTGCTTTTGATTTAGATTTGTTAGCAGTCTTACATTTTCTTTGGTTCAAGATTTTTTAAAATCTTTAACTAACACACTGATTTTAATTTATTCAGCAGTTTTTCTAGTGTCTTATTTTATTCTGTTTATTTTTATGCTAGTTTTTACTTTAAGGTCGCATTGAAGCAGATTACTCTTGATAATTAATTAAAATTTCATATAATTTAAGTTTCAATGACCTCTAATTAATCGTTTTTAATTAATTTTACTTTAGTTTTTCTCTTGAATTATTTCAAGAATTTATAATCATACAGATATAGTTTAGAAATATGGCTCTGTTGAAAATTTTTTGGTTTCTTGAAAAAAGCTCTAGAGAATTTTCTACAGTTTGTTATTTTATTGAGTTGTTTTTATTTCAGTTTGATGCATGTACACTGCCCTCCAAAAGTTAAGGAACAGCATGTTTTTGGTGTCTATTTTGAGAATGAAGTAATATAGAAACAAGAAATTTAGAGGACATGTTCACTAAACAGTTCTTTAATGAATGCAACATAGAATATTTCCAAAGTTCAACACAAACGTCCATTACAACAAAAAATTGCACTCTTGGCAGAGATATCCAGTCTTCAAAAAACAGTACATCACAATTTTTAGATTAAAAATGTTGTGGTAACATTACAAAAATGGGTTCTACTAAGGAATGTGTCCAGCCCTAGCTGCAATACATTGGCAGCAGTGACGTTCCATTCTGTCAATTAAGTTGTTTTTCAGTGAATGGAAAGCAACAGACAGGGAATAATCCTTGTTTGAACTCATCTCATAACCGTGGAGGAGGACTTATAGCAGCAACCTGTCTCCCAAAGTAGTCCTAAAGATTCGGGTCTGGGGACTGAGCTGGCCATTCCATTTGCTCCATACAGTGATCCTGAAGATAGTTTTCAGCACTCCAAGCTTGGTGTGGTTGCGCATTGTCGTCCATCAGAAAAATCCAGGACCAATAGCAATGGGCAGACATATTGATCAAGGATCTAGTGTCAATATCTCATGTCCATTAAAGCTACTTCATGGAACACATGCAGGTCAGTGTGACCACTGAGAGAGATTCCAGCTCAAACCATTATTCCAACACCTCTGTTACTGTGTCTTTCCACAATGTGGGACTGGTTATATCTGATATGTTATTCCCTCCAGATTAGCTGATGACCTGAATCACTTTTCAAAGTAAACCTGAACTCATCTGTGAACAGAACAGATGCCCATTATTGATTGGTCCAGAAGACGCGTTCTCTTGCTTGACATAAACAGGCACCTCTTCATTTCATTTCTGAGCTTACAGCCCTCTTTACCATCCTCTTCTTTTAGTATCGTTTATCTTGCCCTGAAACGACCTCTTAAGTAGTACACTTCTCAGCCAAGGAAATACGAGACCTTAGGTTGATGGAGTTTACATCCGATACGACCAAGTACGAGCAAGCTCCTTCGGCAAGTATAATGGCTCTTTCGGCAAATATAAACAGGCACCTCTGTGTCCTCAGGTCAATGGGACACAAACAACTGGTATTCTTGCATACACACCTGTACTATGCAATGTAGTATCCAAGATTGTTGTTTCTGTTGCCACTAAATGATCTGCCATGAGCTGAGGCACACTAATGTTGCTCCTGCTTTGGGCCAAATAAGGGTCTCCCACAGTGTTGAAACTCTTGGTCTGCCTGGAGCTTGTCTTCTAGACGCAGAATCCTTGGATTCAAACTGATAGTTAGTGGACTGCTCTACAAGAGACATTGCCGCCCAACCAGTATAGTGGTTAACGTTGCTGACTGCTGTGCCACAAAGGGCTTGGGTTCAAATCCCAGAGAAGGCATTGAGTGGTTTGGTGGAAGGAAACAGGGTGGGAGATCCTTGGACCTGTCCCCCT